CTATCTCAAACCCGAAAAGTGTGAATTTGAACGCACTGAGATTGAGTATCTGGGAGTGATTATCTCGCACAACTCAATGAAAATGGATCCCGTGAAGATCAAAGGTGTCATGGAATGGCCGCAGCCCAAAACAGTAAAGCATGTGCAAGCTTTCTTAGGGTTCACCAACTTCTACCGCCGATTCATTCGGGGCTACAGCGAAGTGGCTCGACCTTTGACCAAGCTCACTGGCAAAGGCGGTTGGACTTGGGGACCAGAACAGCAACAAGCCTTCGATGGACTGAAGTCGCGAATAGCCGAGGATGCAGTACTGGCACTGCCAACGGACGATGGAAAATTCCGTCTTGAGGCTGATGCTTCTGAAGGCGCAATTGGAGCTATTCTTAGTCAAGAACAGAATGGCGTATGGCGTCCCGTCGGGTTCTTGTCACATAGCCTGATGGAGACAGAGCGAAATTACGAAATCTACGACAAAGAAATGCTCGCCATCATGTTCGCGCTGGAAGAATATCGTGCCATCCTCATGGGTGCTAAGGAGACTTTCGAGATCTTCACTGATCATCAAAACCTCGAATATTTCAAGAAGCCCCAGAAGCTGAATCGCCGACAAGCCCGATGAATCACCGAGTTGTCACAATATGACTTCACACTGCACCATCGGCCCGGAGCGCTTAATCGGAAGGCTGACCTGCTATCTCGACGGGCTGATCATGATCAAGGAAAGGACGATAACAAGGACGTCATTCTCCTAAAGCCAGAATTATTCAGGGCGACTCAAGTACACTTCGAGGGACCAGAAGATGATCTTCTTAGTCAGATCAAAACGACTAGAAGATTAGATACCAGTGTCAAATTGGCCCTTGAAAAGTCGCTGCCTGATTGGCGAAAAGATGGCGACCTAATCCTTTACCGAGATAAGATCTATGTGCCTCGAGATGATACTCTTCGTGAACGGATCATTCACTTGCATCATGATACCCCGCTTGTTGGACATCCAGGAGAATATCGGACCCAAGAACTCATTGAACGAAAATATTGGTGGCCCAGAATGGGTAATCAAATCAAGGAGTATATCCGAACCTGTGATGCATGCCAACGGACTCGATGGAGACAACGAACTCATGGATTCCTGAAACCCCATAGTGTCCCCAATGGACCATGGGAGACAGTGTCAATGGACTTGATCGGCCCACTACCAGAAAGTAATGGCTTTACAGCTATCCAAGTTTGGGTCGACTTGTTTACCAAACGGATCCATATTGAGCCCGTGAGCATCAAGATTAACAGCGAGGGAATCGCACGCTTGACACGCGATCGGATTGTGCGATATCATGGGGTTCCTCGGAAGATAATCTCAGACCGAGACCCCCGTTATGTATCCGACTTCATGCGTGAGCTTAATCGGCTGCTGGGAACAGAGATGAACCCAAGCACGGCATACCATCCTCAAACCGACGGTCAGACAGAGCGGATGAACAAAGAGATTGAACACTATCTCCGCATCTATGTCAACCACCACCAATCAGACTGGTCGGAATGGTTACCGTTGGCCGAGTTCGCCTACAACGACAAAGCTCATGCTTCGACCAAGGTCTCGCCATTCTTCCTAGATCATGGGTACCATCCCTGGAAAGGCGTCGAAGGACCATATGACTCTAAGGTCGAGGCAGCAGAAGAATTTGCGAAAAAGATGCAGCGCGTGCGTGAGGATGCAACGGTGGCAATTAAGAAGGCCCAAGAGCGGATGAAGAAGTACTATGACCAGAAACGTGTACCAGCACCTGAATTCAAAGTCGGAGACAAGGTGTACGTTGAAGGGTCAAAAGTGCAACAGAATCGACCATCCGAGAAGCTCAATGATCGATGTGTGGGACCATTCAAAGTGGAGGCAAAGGTTGGACCTTCGGCATATGAACTCAAGATGCCAGGTTCTAGTCAGGCTCATCCAGTCTACAATGAGACAGAGCTGACACCCTACCACGAGCCACCACCCCACCGGCGAGAAGAAAGGCCGCCACCGGACATTGTGGATGATCACGAGGAGTAAGAGGTTGAGGAGATTATGAAGAAGCGGAAGCGTGGTCGTGGTTGGCAGTATCTGGTGAAGTGGAAGGGATACCCGCATAGCGAGGATACATGGGAGACGGCGCAAAGGCTTGAGAACTCTCAAGAATTGTTAGACGAGTTCAACCAGAAGAACCCAGTAATCAAGACCCGTAGTGTGCCTGTCCTTGCCCAGGGTCATTGGGATTACCTGGTCAAATGTTATAAGCCGACGCAAGAGAAGCTCCCATATCCGTCCCGGAAACTCTTTAATTATCAGACTGGCCATTTTGTGGAGGCTGAAGGGGGGGTGGATGATGAACGCGCTTTAATGCCCTCTGTCGATGAGGACGTCGACCTTGAAGGGAGGGTAATGTCAAACCCTGGGTTCAAAAACCCTTTTTCTTCGCCTTTTAAACCTTTTATTTTGGCCCTGGTTGATAAGATAAGACAAGGAGGAGATAAGATGGACGATAAGATGGTGATTGGATCATCAGATGTCGATGTTGATGTTGATTGACAGCGTGGAGTTGGACATGAGGCAAACAGCAGGTAAAAGCATGGCTAAAGTATGACGTCATTGCCTCTCATATTAGGCATGGTAAACACATGGTAGTAGTGTATATAAGTAGAGTAGATTTCGTCTTGTACCCCAGTCTTCGAATTCTATCATCTTTACGATATCCTTTCACGGTGCTTCTTGCTTGCCTTCACTGGCCAACTGGCATCCTCTGAATTGGTGTTGTTTGTGACACTGATTCTCCATACCAACCTATCTTTTCCCGATACCGCTCCGGTTTCACTGACCCACAACATAACCCTGCCGCCAGAAGCCCTTCCCCAGGCAGTCGCACATCTTCTTTGGCATCCAGAGCCTGACTCCAGCATACTGCATTGGGCAACATCGCCAGCCCTTTCGATGATGTCCGAATTGACCGAGAGTTCTTCAGCCTCTGTGAAGTCGGAGGAAGGGGATCGCCTTCGCAGCTGGGTCCTCACTGGTGCTGGCAAAATCGAAGTGCCTCCCAAAGCTCCCAGCAAAGCAGATGTCAAATTGCTTCTCAAACAGCTTTACGGCTTGTGCGTAGAGTTCAAAATCAAGGACAAGTATACCGAGTTTCGTGTATGTCCGTGCTCTTTTCCCTTTTTGTTCTATCTCATCGTTCAACACCAGACTGCGATGGACACTATCGCAGCACGTACACTTCAACCCGAAGTCGTATTCTCCAAGCAGAACAAGGAGGATATAGATAAGGCCTTCAAAGAGGTGTGTAAACATTCCACCCGGTTTTTTTTCGCTAAACAAGACTAGATCGGCGACATATACACCTGGTTTCATTGTTGCCCTGATGGATGGCCAGCCCGCCCATATCTTATGGGCCGACAAAGCAACTGTTCGAAGTGCAAAGACCTAAGGGCGGCAGCGGCAGTGGGGCGTGAGGCAAAGAAGGTTCTCGGAAGATTTCCTTCAATGCCAGCGAAGACGGCAAAGGAGATTACCTCCCTCCCACTTTGGAAAACCCGTTCTAATTCTGGTTGTTAATAAGTAGATTGATTACATGTATTTTCGAATGTGTTACACAAAGTCCAATAGTATCAGTAATCTACCTGTGCAGCGCAGTACCCACCGTGAATTGTCAGGTCCACCCCGGCGGGTTGGAGCAGACAATTCACGGCTGTTTTTCTCTCCACCATAGTATTAATGAAAAGCAGAATGAATAACTACGAGTTCCAAGGCTTTTTCTCTTTAAGTCTATCGGGTATAGATAATTATGAATAATTCTGGCATTATAGGACTCGGACAACAAGATGTGACACTGGTATGTGACATCTACAGGCTTGTTATACTCATCTATATTATACTATATATATTGATAATCAACCATAGTGTGCTATCCAAAGCCCATGCGACAGCACATCCAGACTGGGACAAAATCTTGGTGCGCCAATGGGAACTTTGGACGAGGAGGAAGCGACACGCAAAAAGCCTTTTGTCTCGCCATGGATCGTCTACCAATCCGACTGCTGCCATTCTCCCTCCCCGCAAAAAGGCCAAGCCGGCCTCGGCGGAGCCCTCCTCCTCCAGCAACGACAAGACTTTGATTCGTGGACCCCCCCACTGCTCGTAATCGCGCTTCTGACCTACGCACAGCAAATGGTGCGGCTCAGTCGTGATCAGGATGGGCCTTCCACAGGGGATCATCTCTGAGTTTGGTGATGGGCACTTGTAGCATATAACACTCCGTCGTAATGTACATTCTAGTAGTCGCTCCAAAATCTGATTATTACTGCTTTTCAGTCCCTTGCAGGTCGAACGCGTTGTGACCTGCAAGGTGGACTTGATGGTTGACCTGTAGGTAGCCCCGCAGGTCACCGGTATACTGCTCATATCTGTATTGGTTTCTGTGGCACTAAAATTAGTTGTATTTGTTGTAGTATATGAAAAATTGATTCCTTTCTTTTCAGAAACAATATACATGTGAATGAATCCCTTTGTTTATAGAGGACTGAAATGGACACAGAAACTCACTGTTTCTGTCTGCATTTCAGCATTGTTAAAGTGCTTTGTTTATAGCTCACCGATTCTTACACAAAAACAAGTTGCCACTTTCAACGGCGCGGAAACTAGCGCTGATAGGCGTAGTTTCCGTGGCTGTTTCGGGTCAGAAGAAAGAAGTGGTTTTGTTGGAGCTGATTTTTGTACATATTTGTCCAAATTCTGAGTAGGTTTCTGCTCAATTAAAACTTTGCATTTAAGTCGACCTAATTCTACTACAGATTGGTCTAAAATCAATTATAGTTTCTGTTCAAGCTGATATTTTGCTTTTTCCGGTGTGTCGTATTCACGCCTCGGATCCGGTGCACCGCTCGCCGTTAACCCCCGATTCTACTCCCTTCAGTATTTCAAACCCCACCGTAGGCCCACCATGTTCCCATTACTCCTCCCACTCCCATCCCTAACCATCCGAGTCCGCTAGGACACGCATCCCCAGCTTCATCGCCCACGGCATCGCACCGCACATCGCCGCGCTATACTCCCCCAAATCCACCTCCTCCCCCGTCCGCTCCCCATCCGCATAGACGAACCGCGGCACCCAGCACGCCTTCCTCGTCGACACCGGCGCGGGGCACATCCCGATATACCCCGCCACCAGCGCGTCCAGCTCGCCCAGCGCCCCACCCACGGGAGGCACGTGCGTGCGGCACTCGGTGCACACGGGGACTGCGGGCCGGAGGACGAGCCGGCGAAGCGCGGGCGTGCCGAGGAGGAGCGCGGCCAGCAGCGCGAGGAGAAGCGGCGGCGGCGGGTGCGACTCAGGCGCGTTGCACACGCGCGGGTCGGGGAAGGAGAAGTGCAGCGAGAGACTGAAGAGCTGCGGGAGAAACGGGAGGAGGATGGGGGACTCGGAGCGGCAGCCTGAGGGTGGGGCGTGGGGCGAGAGTGTCAGGGAGAGATGCGTGAGCGTGTTAGCCGTGATGCAGAGGAGCGGTCCGATCAAAGCGGTCGGCGCGAGGCCGAGGTCAGTGATGGTGAGGCTGCGCAGCGCGGCGGCGTGCGGAAGGAGAACACGCAGCAGCGGAGGGTGGAGGGTGGGCACGCTCGTCGCTAGGCGGCTGATCGGATTGATCGTCTCTGCAGCAATATGATCGTCTTCTTCTTCCAGCGCGACGGTCACGTCAAACAGCGTCACATCGCGACTCGCACCCCAGAACAACATCAACACCTCCGCCGGTACTTCACGGAAGCCGCAGAGGCTGACGCGCCGCAAGCCGCCGTGTCTCCATCGCTCCTCGACCGCTGCTCCAAACTTCTCCTCGATAGTGCTCCACCTACCTTGCCCCTTGACGCTGAACACCCGGACGTTGCTGAATCGTGCCAACAGAACATCCAGCAGATCGCACTCACTGGCTTCCGCGTATTCTAGCTGCACCTCCACCACGTGCGCCGCGAGATGTGGGAACGCTGCGAAATGCGCGTTTGTCGAAGGCAGGCGGTCCGTGCGGACGTTGGCGGTCCGGTAGAGCCGCTCCTGACACAGGTAGGTCATGGCGCGGGACGCGGCGGCGGTAGCCAGGAGCGCGGCCCTTGCGTCATCGTGATCGGGGTCGAGCTGCGCGACGATGTGCGTGAGGAGCTCTGGCGGGAGTACGCAGGGCATGGAGGATCGCTGGCCCGACTTGGACGCTGGTGTGATATATACGCCCGCAGCCAGACAAGGGAATCGATCCGGGTGATTGTTCGTCGCGTCCTCCCCGCGGCGAACACGCACCGCCTGAGCACATGCGGGACAACAGCGCCAAGCGGCTGACGAGGCGACAATTTCCTCTGAGTCGTTTCCGCCACGCCGCCGACCTGGCTTCCCCTCTACTTCTGAAGCGATCCGCTGCTATCCGGGACCGACCGCGTGGGAAGCTGCGCGGCTCAGCTCCTAAGCTTGGCCTAAGCAACAATGAAAACGTCAGAGGCGGCGCCGAAACAACGCGTGTTTAATGGACGCACCGGCTGCCGAAGGCCCCGCGAGGCTACTGTGCATGAGTATGGATGCTCGCCAGTTCTCCAGCCACGTCGTGGCTTGGCCGAGGTCATCCAAGCGCGGGCGTGGCCACGGGCAAGCGGCAACTTGAAGCCAATTAACCAGGCGGCGTGCGGCAAAACGGAGAGCCACTGGCCAGTAATGGGCGGACGAAAGCGAGAGGCAACGTGTCGTCGTCATGGGCGGAGGCAAAGAAGAAGCGGCGATCGATCGCTGTCATGATCACCGGCTGCCACGTCACGCGATCATTTCTTCTTTGCTCTTGGCCACGTCGTCGGCACGCTCTGCTGCTCACAAAGTCGTTCCGCTGGGCTTTTCTGGGTCGAGCTGGCGGTGACGCGGTGAACTGGGAATCTGGGATGCGCAGGTGCGCCTTACTGAAAACGTGCTGTTTGTCGGTGACTCGTTATGACACGTTCTGCAGCGACGCGCGTCCGTGTTGCGGCGCATCGCGGCCTCCCATGCACGAGCGGAACAAGGGAGTCCCCGGTTTGTCCACATTGTTGCTCGGTATCTGGAGAGAGCACCCCAGGGCTTAGGACGTCCTTAGACCATGCCTTCCTCGCTGAAAGTCTTCCTGATGCTCTTCGTCCTCGGCCTCTTTGCATTTTTGCTCGTGGTTTGTCATGTCAGACATTGTCAGTCTCGAATTCAAGCGCGTCTGCGGGCAGCGAGGTCGCATCCCGCATAGAAGTGGCGCTCAGACACCGCTGGTCTGCGACAGTACTCGCCTTCCCCGCATCGTCTCTGGGAGACTTCTTCACCGACATCCCCAGATATCGACCATGTTTCCTCCATCAACTACCCCACTAGAAAAGCTCAAGGTCGACTTCAAAATGATTGCTTTGACTTGAGACGATCTCCGAGTGTAGCCTCTGACCCCGGCGGCCCGGCTCAGGCACAATGCCATCTCAACAAAGCGCGATCGAAAGCACGCATCAACAATGCGCGTGCGGGTCCAAGGGCCGATGAGCACCGAATAGAAAAGGCAGCCTCTGCGATGCTCGCATCCAAACGAAGTATGCCCTCCTCCTTCGAACTTCTGCCATCCGAAATCATCGAGCGCATCGCCGAGCACACGAAGGACGATCTGGAACACGGCTCCACCCTTGCCCTTACGAAGACATGCCGCCGCTTGCATGACATAACTGTGCGGACGCTGTACCACTCAATCTACATAGACACCTGTGACGCCTCGGAGTGTGGCATCCTCTATACCCTGATCGACAATCCGCACTATGCTTCTCTGGTTCGGACCATTGAATTCGGTCCTTGGACCACCTGGGGGTACGTTATTCACTGTGAAAATTTTTGCCTGTGTCGAGAACCTCCTAGGCCCGTTGCGAACGACCCCCGCATCTATCTTCCCGGCCTGGTGTGCGATGCGCTGGAGAGTATGCCGCTCCTTCAGTCCATCATTCGACCGCACGGCTGCGCAGAGCCGATCCTGGCCATGCCTTCTCTCGTATTTACACACCTTCGTTCCATCACTCTCCGGAGCCTCACGCCTGACACGGTCACCTTCGTCGCCAAACACGCCCCACAGCTACGGGCCCTCACTGTGAATTCCGGCCCAGCACTCCCCCTACTGGTGGACGCACCTGCTCTGCATATCTTGGAGGGGAACTGCTTGGTCGTCGCTGTCGTTTGTCCAGCAGCACCCCTCCTTACGCACCTTCAAATCAAGCATCAGGAGGAGGATGACCCATCAGTTTCGTCAATGCTCGCAACCGTCGGTATTCACATGCCCACCCTCCGCCTGATGAAGATCGTGTCGTGGTGTATATCAGGAGACGCCTCGCTCATGGACAGCATTGCACGCTTTTCTCCGAATCTAGTCTCTCTCGCGCTGTCGCTCGAAGCGGATTGGGTGGGCCGAGGGGGGCCTGAGGGGCGTGATTGTAAGGTGTGTCATCAATCTCGAGTACTTTCACCGACTAAACGATTGATGCAGCCTGAGATCTTAATTTCCACCATCGAAAAAGCGCTCCCCCACCTACCACACCTCTTCCACTTCGAAATCTCGCAGCAACTCGGATTGTACGCTTTCCGCCTCGGCGGGGAGGTCCTCTCCGAGTGCAATTACTTGGTACAGTTGGACGTCGAAGAGGCATGGGTAAGGAGATGGGGCGCGGCCTCCTCAACGATCAGCGTCTGCACCCTTCCGGCGGCGCGCTGGTGGCGTCTGTCGCGCGACTTGTGGGTGCCCGTTACGATTACCGTGCCGGTGGGCCGTGTGGATTTCATGGATCGTGTGGGGCTGAGCCACTTGTCCGCGTGGACGAGGCGCAGAACGGCTGCGGACAGCAGTGATATCGCCAGCGCGAGTATGCATCGACGGAAGGAGATTAGAGAGGGCACGTCCATATTTGCGCGCAGGCTGGCTGAGCTCGTGGCGTTGAATGAGGAGATTGCTCAGGATTTTGACGTAAGATTGGTTGTGTAGAAGCTATATGTATTTGATACAGAAACAAAGTGGATGAAGTACTCAGCGCCCGACCGCGAGCAAATGATCAAGGAGGTGAGCGGGGTTGGGACAGTGAAGAGACTGCCGTGGCACCCTATATCCATCTCCACTTCATCTTCATCTTCTAAGTGGAATGCATATATCAGAAATAATGGTCCAAACAAATTGTATCTGATTTACAAGAAATCACGTTCTATATCAGGGTACCCCATTCCTATTTTATTGAAGCCCAAATACTTATTTGTCAAAAAAATAGTGTCCTATTTAATGGCAATTTGTCACTGATTCAACACTGATTTCTAGTGCTGGCCTATTATGATATTATTATGAAGACCTTTCAGTCACATATCTATGATGAATTACCTCATTTAGAAACTGTGGCTACATTGTGATATTTATAGTATGTAGACATAGGGAAATATGGGTACACCGCCACCATGGATACGGATACGGATAGACTAGACAGGGCTGGGGCTACGCCCCAGCTTTGAATGTTGCTTGAATAACATGAATTTCTAGATTAAGAACATTGCCAGTAACTACAAATGCTCAATAGCCTTTTTATATGTCTGCTCTAGTATTGTTGCTAGTATATGTAGATTGCAACCTAAGTCCGTAAAATCTATGTATTTATTTCTCAATTTGTGGGCAATTTGAGAATACTTACTTAGTATACACTTCAGTGTTATCATGGTAAATAACCCTAGATATAACTTGGTGATAGTACTGGGTGCAAGATATCACTAACAGCTTTGTGTCCCAATTAGGATTGGTGACATTTTACAGCTTTCCTTACTAATTTAGGGCTTTAACAGCAATGATCCCAAAAATGGAAGTGTGGAGCAAATCAATTGTTAAAGTCAGTGCCAAACATGTGCATACATTCACACGACATCTGCTTAATATAAGAGTAATAGAGTCCCAGGTACCCAAGGGTATACCCATGCCACTATGTCAAGATAGTTTTTTTTTGTTCAAGCTGACCATTCTCTCAATCTAGTTGTCGATAGTCAGACATGCAAGTCTTTCTCAACTGACTAGTATGAACTAGCCTTATGAATTACTGTAAGATTTTATTCAATTCGTATGTCACATGTCACACGACCAATTTTATACGAAATTCTTTCGTATGTCACAGCAAAAAGTGGATTTTGGCTTCCCGAAATTGGTAATTTTCCACAATTCCGGCGCCTTCGGCGCGCCAAATTGCCAAATGGGGAACATCATATCGGACATCAATGTGTCACAGCCCCCCGGGCCATTCGAATTGAATAAAATCTTACAGTATCAGCCATGAGACCATTCAAATATAACTAGGACAACAATAAGCTGGTTTTGTACAAAATTTATCAGTTTGGAGCTGATATGTAAGTCACTTGAAGAATATATTATAATTTATCAGGCTAGAGGCATAATAATGATATAATAATACTATAATATAATATAATATAATATAATATTGAATAATAATCATATTGATTCCTGCCATCAGGCATAATATAATTATAATAATTATAATAATGATATGGTATAATAATAAAGCATAATATAATAATGACCAGCACTACTGATTTCTGAGATACTTCGGTGCTAGCACAGGTTTATGATAGCCCAGAAATTCTGAAAATCTTCCTGATTGGGATGCATTGGGACTAGACAAACTGGCTGTGACCTGTGACCAACTAAAATATTTGGGGTGATATAACTGTGACCAGGAGACTTGACTAAAATGCAGTACACCACCACTGGGACGATAGCTGATGAGAAGCTGTCGATCACATGTGTGACAGGGCCTATCAACAGCTGGATGCCACCCTGTCATCAGCTGGATCCCAGGTCTTGTCGCAAATGGAGCCAGCTTGGCGCCACCTCCGGCCGGCTATCAGGGAATGATGATGGTTGTCTGGCCCAGTCAAATCACTCAGTTTTTCCGCTGCTCATGGTTTGAAAGCCATAAAAAATTTATTGGTATATACAGAAATACATTATGTCAATAGAAAAGGAGAGGCTGAGGAGCACATGGACCAGGAAGAGGTGGGGGAGGGAAGAAGAGGAGGGGAGGGCACAGTGGAAGCCACCAAAAAGTGCTTGAGAGGGTGCTTGAGTCTTGAATACTCTTAGAAGGTGATATTGACGACTTGAGAAGACTTGATAAGGGGAAGGACTTGACAGATGGCTTGATTCATAGGGTTTGTGGATGCATTTGAGGCTTGAGGAGGCTTGAAGAGCAATTGGACTTGTGGGGAAAAGAGAGAAATGTGTTGCTGGCAGTCTCTGGGAACAGCACATATGGGCGCTGATCGGCAGAACCGCACATCAATCATCTGATTGACATCCAGCGCTGGGTTATCCGGGAGATTCTCAGGCCTCCGGATCGTCCAGCTGGCCTTCCCATGGTAGACAGCCGCTGCCATGTGGAATGTCAGCTGGTAACAGCTGGAACAACCAGCCGCACAACAGCTGCAGGCCAATTGGTGGTGTAGTATTTGTTGCAAATCATTGCCACAAAATTGTCAGTTGCTCCAATTCTGATAACTTAATACTGTCAAACATCTCTTAAGTCAACCCTCTTCATATCATTAGGCTTAATAATGCCATATTATATAGTTATGTTATATCCATGCCGACTCCGATATCGACTCCGGTATTTAGTTTTTATGCAATGAAGATTTACTGAGCGTTTCCAATTACCCCGACTTATAATCTATGCAATCATCTATGCCTTGTTCCTCGTATGCAACTCCTCTTCTACTTTACTTGACTTTGTTCTAATCTCGTTACTTACTTTGTTATCCCTTATTCCGTTTCTGTTACTTCTCATACTATAAATACTTTGATATATTACTACATACTTTAGTTTGTAAATTAACGTTGCTGGTCTCTATCTCCCAGCGTCGTCTCGACTCCGCTCTTGTCTTCTTGTCTTATCTTGGTCAACTGGAAGCCCCGGTCACCCAAACATCCTTCTGTGGTGTTCCGCCCCCCAAGTGCTCTCCGACTTTGATTCCGTTTCCGACTCCGACTCCGACTCCGGTCCTTTGGTCAACACGGCACTTAACAAGTTATTAGTATGGTTACTGTACTATTTCAATTAATTGTCTGCAGCATGTAATAGATAACATGAACTGTCTGCCAGATAAGGTGTCCAGATTACCATAAAGAGCAAGTTCGGTGCCAGCCGGAATGAAAAATTGCCTTTTTAGGCCAGGATTTAATGGCAAATCGGACTGGAATGTGTAACGGTGGCTGCAGGTATCCGCGCAGGGACCGCGTGTAACATCCGACATGGTCAATCAATCAAAATAGTACAGTAAGTAAGTCTGATCATCAGAATTAAAATCCTTACGCAAGATCTTCTTCTTTCTAATCTCTCTAACAGACAGTTGAGCTTCCAAGTATCTTATAAGTTTGGTGTAGTGATTGTCATAGGTGGTGTGACCCAAGGGGTTCAAGATCCTTATCAGGCACATGGGGTAGGGGGGAGGGGGGTCCCCGGGGGGTAAAAAAAAAACTTTTTGTATATGAAAGATTTTGTCAGGGGAACCTCCCTTTCGGCCTGGAGACGCACCCGATTCCGGTCCGATTCCGGTTCCGACTCCGGTCCGGCCCTCCATCTCGCCTGCACAATCACCGATCCGTCAACGCCCTCCCGACGGTCGCCCTGGGACCTCGCCTGCGACGCCGCCCAAGCCTTCTGTGCCCGACAGCGGCAGCTACGGACAAGCAGTATATAGTCAGCTACCTAGCAGGCGGACCCTTAGAGTTTCTTCTCTTTGGATCCTCCCCTGCTAGGTCAGCTTCATTTGTATTCGCTTACCAATGTTCACTCTTTGGATCCTCCCCTGCTAGGACCTTGATCTCAGGCCTCCGGGGTTGCCCTTACAGCAGAAGAAACTCTCTACGGGATCAACCGGACAAGATTGCCAGGTTCGGCGCTGACTCAGGCTCGGAGTACGAGTCCGTTCCGCCCTCATCACCGCCCCTGCCACTTGTCCCCTCCTCCTCTACTCCTGTGGTCCCCGCACCCGTCATGCTGTCCGGAGTCACTCCTACCGCAGACGCCCGGCTGGACTCACTCGAGGCGAAAATTGATAGCCTAACTGAGGCCCTTGCTTTACTCACCAGCCAGGCTTCCGCTGCCGCTGCCGCCGCTAATAATGCTGGCGGACCCCAAACACCTTCGCCGGAGACGTCGATTCCGACTCCGACTCCGGTCCAGGGCGACTCCGAAGCCCTTTTTGGCGACATCAACCTCGCCTCAAAATTGGTCTTGCGACCAAACCCCCGTTCACCTTCAACGGCGACCGGAAACGCGGCCGTGCGTTCCTTTACGCGGTCCGCACCTACGCCCGCCTTGCCCCTGAGGCCTTCGTGGTCAACGGAGAGGCGAGCGAGGAAAAGGCTGTCCGCTATGCCATGTCGTTTATGGCAGAAGGACCCACTCAGCAATGGGCGGAGCGCCACGGAAGCAAAGCCCCGTTTCCGTTTACCCTCTCCTGCCCCTGCCTCGACTCCGTCTCCGACTCCGCTCGCGACTCCGGTCATCGTCCTTCGCCGCCTCACTGCCTGGGAAAAGAAACTGCCCAAGCAGTACACCGTTGCCGCTGCCCCTGGGGCGAACTCCCTCCACCTCCCGTTGGAGCTCGAGTCCACCACCAGTGCGCTGAAGCTCTCACTCTCTGGGCTTGTCGACTGTGGTGCCACCTCCGACTTCATTGACACGAACTATGTTGCTCGGAATGGCATTCCGGTCCGCACCCTCGATCAGCCGATTCCGGTTTTCAATGTCGATGACACCCCCAATGACGCTGGCTCCATCAAACAGATCGCGGACTTGGTCCTGCGCTACAAGGGCCATGCCGAATGAGTTCAACTGGCCGTCACCCATCTTGGCAAGCAAGACCTCATCCTGGGGTATTCCTGGTTGCGGAAACGAACGGACCGAGCAGCGGCGACTCCGGTCGCTTCAGAAGCGTCTC